TAAATGTTATAGTATCCTTTAATAAAAATATGCAATACTTCAAAGAATTCGTTTAAATACGTCTTAGGTGCTTTTAAAAAGTAAAATGGGATTTCGCTCACAATTTACAACAACACTACATGAAACTGAAATACTGTCTTCATATTGAATTATACATACGGGGGAGAATGTAAGTAACTGCTAACGTTGTACCTGTGAGAGTGAATTAATATTATTATCTCATACTAACATTACGGCTCTCTATCTTGTTTAACTTTTTTACAATTATTCTTACAAACATAAAATACTATCTATCAATTCGTTTGATAAAAAAATATTTTTTGCTCATTAAAAAACTTGACATAAGAATAAATATAGGTACAATGAACTAATAAGACCTGCAAGTCCAAAAATTTTTTTACACTTCGTATGAACACAACGTTTTTGATATATACATATAATCTATATTCTCAAGTCAACCAACTGAACTGTATTGAATTTTAATACAAGATAATAATCTGCTGCTAAGGTTAGTTTAGTTACTTAGTGGTGGCCTAGTGGTTAAGGGGCCCGCCTCTCGTCGCCGAGGGCGCGGATTCACACCTGGCAAGTACCAATGTGATTTTTCGGAGTCATATGTACTTTCTGAGAGTATTTAGACATTACTGGCATAAGGTGAAGGAAAACATCGTGGGGAAACCTGGACTTATAGTTTCAAAAATTATGAGTTTGAAATCACAAACCCGTCTTGAGCAACCGTGGTGATTAATGCTCAAACCTTCTCCATGTGAGAAAGAGGCCTTTGCTCAGCAGTGGGCTCTGATAGGCTTATGATGAAGGTTAGTCTGAAGTTGAAGTCAAACCACGATGAATAATAGTTCGACCAGAATAACCCGGCAAAGATGGAAAGGCTCGATTTTTTCTAGTGTTACCGGTCTTGAGTACGGTCATAAGATACATATATACCTAAAATAGGATACCTGTGACCTCTTTTTTATATCTCAGTAGGACCGTAGTTATGAAATATGCTGTGACGTAAACTTCTCAACCAAAGTGCGTTTTTGAAAAAGCAAGAGGAACGATCGGATATTATTGAGATTTGCATATAAGGCTCTATCGTCGTCGGTGTTGGGAAACTTTTCTCGAGCGGAAAGTATGTAGCAAGTTTCTTATCGGATATTTTTCTTACTTTATAATAGAATCCATTATTTTATCATTATTGAATTAATTAGAAGGAACTCTAATTTAGTAAATGAACAAACAAATTAACTTTTATAAGCGGATAGAAACATATATTTTTTTTGTCTCAAGTAACGTTGTTACGTAAAATTCAAAATATCCGTATTATTTTAGTGACTGAATAATGTGAAGCTGGATAAATTCATTAAAATGCACATTTGGTAGCATACATCGTGAAATGATACCGTACCAATTCAAATGCAGAATTGAAATTGTTTCAAATGCATTAATTTATTGTTGTACCACTATGTATATGATTCGAATTGGTTAGTGATACTGAATGTCAACTTTAATTTGCATTTCTAAGAAATTAGGTTGAAAAGTGTAAACAACATAATTGAAAAGTTACGACAGATAGTATCCTGAACTTATTCAATTATCTTACCCAAATGTACTTAAAGCGATAAACTGAAGATTGTTAAAGATAATGAACAGACAAAGGGGTTATTAAATAAAAATAACAAATACAAAAACTTTCGTTAGCAAATACATTTTGAATTTGAAATTGTCGTTGAAAATGATATTTTCTATGGCTAATAAAATTTCCTACTTAATTATTTAACGCTGACATAAACTGTGGTTGACTACTTAGTAAGAATTGTATTTTTCTAATATTATTTACTTAACAAAAGATTAATCAGGATATATAAACTGTTTGCGGTATTAAATAAAATAATTAAATGAATATTTAGGAACCTTTAAGTGTGTTTAAGATATATTTATCAGAAACGAAATTGGAATTAGTCAGACTATAACATTGTACAGAAATGTTTTTAAGATTAAAAAATAATACGATATGTATGTATAATTATATTAAATATTTATATATATATATACTTACGATATATATGTATATATATTTATATCGCAAGGAATTAAAAGGGCTATTACAAATGATTTTTTACCTTATGGTATATATTACAATTAAGCTCAAATTGTTTGATAAAGCAATCTCATAGACCAATTTGTATAAATATTTTATTAATATCTGTCTCTGTATTATCATCTTGATGATAATGAAGCAGATATCATCATAAGTTTGTTTGGTTCCATGTTTATAAATTTTATAGTACAGTAAGTTTTATAACAGTTGCTTTTGATATGGCTAGTTTTAAATTTACAAATGTCCTATGTATTGTTTGAGAGAGATTAAAACATAAAAAAAATCAACGATTATATTTTTATAACAAACACTAATACAGCAATTACCATTTTTTTTGCAATCAATATAGCAAGAAAAAGTATCAACATAAAAAATTCCAATGTTTTTCTAGTATCTAACTATTATTTGTATATATACTCAAAATCTCAATTTTCAAACAAACAAATCTCAATTCCGTTGTTGGGATAATGTAAGATAGTTTAATTTGCAAGATTTTCAATAAAATATCACGTAATAAAATTGGAAAGCTTACACATAGTGAATTATATTATGTAAATAAAATAAAATAAACTGTATCATTTAAATTAAGTCTAGGTCACTTTTAAACATATTTGAAATTAACTAAAGTATTTCAAAGGTCTTTTACAAATAAACAAGTTTCATTCGTTATTGCAATTAACGTAATATTATAGGAAAGTTTTTGTTATTGTTGTAACCTTATTCCATAGATACAATCAAGGTAAGTGAAATCAAAGGTCAAAAACATATCAAATTAAGAATGGGACATATAAAGATATGAAAATACATAGTTTTGAATTAGTTTGAATATTTTATGTACAATATATTTAATAGTTATGTTAAGAACATGTAACGGTTCAGGACACCATCGTTTTTTAGACTAATAAGTTAATTTAAAATGTTGTTTTCGGTGTGACCTATTGGTCATGTGTCACCTATTGATTATGCGTTTACGATATTAAGGTTTATTTCTTTAATTATTTTTTTTACAATTACAACATTTAACTAACGCATCCCCTTTCTGTAATTGCACAAACATACATGGAGGTATGTTTCCTCAATGCGATATAAAAAGAAAGAACGAAAATATGTATGTTTATTCGTTTACATAAATATTATAGATACAAATGCAAGTAATATGTTACAGAATTTTATTCTTATACACATATATGTATATGAGGTTGTGATTCGAAATATAATTGCTACAACATATTAATTATAATAAAAATAACGGTTAAATATACTTAAACATATAATGTATAGAAGAAAATAAACAAGATTATATGTAATTAAATTGCTTATTAACAGTAAACAGGCAATAAGTAAGTTTTCAATTTGACCAGTCTAAAGTTAAATCAGCAGAACTTCTGAATTATTTCTTAAAATTTCATAAAGAATGATTTATGTTTAAGTAATTAATTCGCGTATCTAATATAAAAAAAAAAATATCAATAAAAGCATTTATTTAATACAAAAGTAATGAAAAGAGTTGTTACAGAGGCATGACTAAGAATATTGAATTGTATGACTACATATATATAGAAACTGAAATATTGTCAAAACAGTCCAAATGTGAAAAAGGGCGTTTATGGCATAAACATATTTATAAATTTACACTTTGCCTATTTTCGAATTGATTAGTCATTAATCACAAATCCCTTTTGACTCTTAAATTACTGAAAAATTAGATTAAGATAATTTCTGTTTATAAAAAAACATTTTATTGTGTAAAATGTAACATATCTATTATACTTTAATATATCAATATTAGAACAACTCCCATGGCCCGACCAAGTTAATACAATGAGATTCATTCATATACATATAACGATAACTTTGTTTGTCCACTGTTTTAGTGCATATCCCTTTAGTATCGAGACTAGACTGATCTATTCATAATTGAACATAACAGTTATAAACAATTTAATAAAATTTTATATAAACGTAGGTTTAAAGTAGTGCGTAATATATTAATATACTTCTTATATTTAAAAAGGAATTAATGACCAACTTAATAGTACTTAATATATTTTTTGATGACGTAGTGGAAACTCTTTTTACGAGCCGTCCAACCGGCCTTGGTGGGGCCGGAAGGGATGTGTGAGGCTCGGCCTGTGCAGGCCCCTACTCCCTAAAACCACTGCGAAAGCCATCGGCCGCTATGTCGGTGTACCCCGGATCTGTCAGCGACAGGGCACACCAGCGACTGGCCGGTCCTGGCAAAGACCGGACTTATTCCCTCGGAGAATGGGGGCGATCCCGGCAATTAGGACCTATTAGGAATTCATATAGTTAACTTTTTAATGAACGGTCGACTTTACAACAATAATGACTACAGTATTCCTTACAATACTTCTGTGATATAATGTTAATTGATTTTTACAAACATCCCTCTGCCTTGTAAGTTACTGTTGGAATATCTTTATTTCAGTGTTCTATATTTGCGATACTGGAAATTCGTAACCTAAATTGCAGCTTATAAGGTTTGTTCTTACATCATTAACCTTCCTATACTCGCGCGTTGGTCTGTGAGACCGACGAAACACATTTTCGTAATTATTTTTATGCAGGTAAATCCTAAGAAGTTGAGTTCCTTGCTAGCTGCCGGATTTGTGGCTAACTTCGTTTTAGTGCACGCCGCGCGTTCGGGCGAAACACACGTGTTGTAGCACTCGTCACCAATCGGTCCACGAGACCGACGCGAGTATAGGTGTAACTTTTTGTGTAAGTATTAATATAATTTATTTCGTGCATTTGTATATTTTTTGCGGACTTTGATTACTTTATAAAGTATATATAGTAAAATATATGTATGTATGTTGCTCTATATTATATTTTGACCAATTTTATCATTCTTTTTTAGGTTTTAATCCATATCAAAATGGACGATGATCACATCAGATTGTTGCTGGAAGAATTAAGTTCTAGCTCAAGCTATGAAGACGAAAATGACAGTGAGGTGGAAGATAACGTGGAGGTACAAGAAGAGACATATGATACCGAGCAAGACGATGACAATGACGAGATATCTGAGGAAGAACATAATGAACGATCCCATGATTTTTACTTAGGAAAAGATGGACAGACAAGGTGGAATAAATCTCCTGCCTCAAACCCAACTAGGCGACGTGCTAGAAATATAGTTACTCAACTTCCAGGCGCTAGAGGAGAAGCTAGAAATTTGAAGGAACCAGGTGAGCTGTGGCGGCTTTTTTTTTTCGGAGGGCACTATCAGCCTGATAGTAAAGTACACTAATGAACAAATTAATCGCATGAAGCATAATTTCACAAGAGAGAGAGACTGCGCCGATACAGACAATATTGAAATTGAAGCTTTTTTAGGCCTTTTACTATTTGCTGGAGTCAGAAGGAACGCTCGTCTAAATGCCAAAGATTTTTTCAGAACTGACGGGTCATCCCCGGAGATATTTCGTTTGACTATGGGATTATCCAGGTTCTTTCTATTGATGCGTTGTCTCAGATTTGACAGTAAAGATACACGAGAAGAGAGAATACAACTGGATAAACTGGCACCTATTAGAGAGTTGTTTGATATAGTTGTGGGAACGTTCAAAAAATATTACAGCGTGTCTCAGTATGTTACAATTGACGAGAAGTTAGAGGCTTTTAGAGGACGTTGTAACTTTCGCCAGTACATTCCATCAAAACCCAACAAATACGGAATCAAAATTTATGCGTTGACAGATGCCAAAATGTTTTATACCCATACCATGGAAGTTTATGTTGGGAAGCAACCAGACGGTCCATACCAAGTTGATAACTCCGCTTTGGCTTTGGTTTTGCGATTGAGTGAAAATATTCACAATACTGGGCGTAATATCACATGTGATAACTTCTTCACTAGTATTCCATTGATAGATAAGCTTGAGTCTCAACACAAATTGACAGTTATTGGGACAATTCGTAAAAACAAACGAGAATTGCCTAAAAATTTCACGGAAATACGAGGAAGAGCCGAAAAATCTAGTTTATTCGGGCACCGTGGCAATTGCAGTCTTGTATCCTATGTACCAAAAAAAGGCAAAAATGTCCTTCTCGTATCCAGCATGCACGATGATGCCCAGATCAATGAAGATACAGGTAAACCGGAAATTGTAATGGACTACAATAGAACCAAAGGTGGAGTAGATACCGTAGACAAAATGTGTGAGACTTACAACGTCGCACGTGGGACAAATAGATGGCCAATGGTGATATTTTATAGCCTAATGAATGTAGCGGGTATAAATACGTTTATAATATACCTGCAGAATAACCCTAACAAGAAAATTAGCCGTCGAGTCTTCCTTGAAGCCTTAGCATACGATTTGATCAATCCGCAACTTAGACGACGGGCTCTCATTTCATCCTTGCCGAGAAGCATAAGACTCAGGCTCACCGAAATATGCAAATTAGATGGACCCGAGTCTGCAGCAACATCTTACAATAATAAAGTAGGTCGTTGTGGATACTGCTCTTCGAAAAAAAACCGCAAGACACGTTACAACTGTGCCACCTGCAAAAAATACTTTTGTTTGGAGCATGCTGTAACCGTATGCCCTGATTGCTATGGCGAGGCTCAAAATTAAGTCAAACATAGATAAATATGTTTATTGATATGTTTGTTGTTATTAATAAGAAGTTTAATTTGTTTTTAAAAAGAAGTTCAGATTTTATTTTAATTTTTTAGTACTTAAGAAAATAATCTCAAATTTTAAGACTGATTTGTGATAAAACTATAAGTTGGTAAAATAATTAATAAAATAACTTTTAGTTATACTGTTTTGTTTCATTACATCCTAAACTTTAAAATAATAGTAATACTTTATGTGTTTCTTGTTAAAAAAAATATGTTGTAGGGGTACAAACTATCGGTCTGTGACACCGTGCGCGAGTATAGGTGTTACAAAAATTGGCGCGAGTATAGGAAGGTTAAACTGAGTCGTACTCCGCCGGAACAGTAGGCAAAAAAATCTAAACATGATTGACAGCAAGCGATAAAAACAAGACTCACTGACCGAAATTTCCATAATGTCATTTCGTGATCATAGTAAAAGAAAAGTAAAATGTAATATAACAAAATACATCAGTTGAATACGAAAAACATATTTTTTGAAGTTATACTTTCTTTGGCGCGATGGGGAAAAATTATGAGAGTGAATTTTTACGATACGCGTACACACTACACACACACAGCGACATCGTCAAGTTTGTTCTAGGTGGCACGTTAATTGATAACTACATATGTTAAAGTTATATTTTCTAATATTTTTATATTTAGAATACGTGTTTCGTAACAGTACAATTAAACAGTGTGAATAAATAGAGGTGGTAGAGCCTAGCTGTGGTGAGTTACTACAGCTCGAACATGGGCTGGCTCGACCGGGGAAGTACCACCCTCTCACAGAAGATCGGCGTGAAGTAGCCTTTATTGGCTGCGTTTCGTCTGATGAGTGAGAGAGCCGGTTGCCCGTTCCCCATTCCTACCCTTTCCTTTCATTTCCTTATTCCCACCCCTCCCTATCCCCAAAAGGTTGGCAACGCATCCGCAACAAAATGTTGCGGATGTCCATGGGCGCCGGTATCCACCTTCCATCAAGTGGGCCGTCAGCTCGTTTGCCACCTTTCACATAAAAAAAAAATAAATAAATAAATAAATAAATATTATTTTGGTATTTTTATTAAATCAATTTCACTACATACACATATATATACATATATATATTGAATATCAGTGATAAAACTGTTATGAGTGCATTTATAGATTTGAGGTTAATTGTCGCTATGTATGACTTATTTACATCGTTAATTGAAAATGTATATAGACTTTACTTCAGAGACTTCTGAGCCACTGATTACTTTTTTTTAATGAAGATTTCAATCTGTTGATTAATAATGACTCTTCAATTTCAACAACACGGCAAAGCACCACTAATGATGATGTATTTACAAGATTTCCAACCAACCAAAAGTTTCAACGAGACAATTTATATCATATTTTAGCTATCACAAACCAACTTTCTATTCAGTCACTACGAGAAAAATCTACAAGTATGAAATAGTTTATTTGATATATTTATTGACCTATTGATTCATTTCCTTAATGATTAATGGTTGTATATTTCTACTGTGGTGTCATATTTTTAGGTTAACAAGAATCTTTTTTATTTAAATAAAATCTTTTTGATTAATTTTTATATTTATAACTTCTAACGCCAAAGAAATATAACTTCTAACGCGTGTACATAAATAAAAACACTCTTTTTTATTGAAATGGTGATTATTTGTATCGACGACCTAAGATATCATTACCATATAATTGTGAACAAAAAAATCATTTAATCGTACGTCTATAAAATTTTTAAGTAGATCTTGATGTATATTACTCGACTAAGACAGATCTACAGTATTCTTTGTTTCGCTGACATAAATGATAGTCGATTTAAGAGATTTATTATGTCTTACCTTACATATTGTTTTTTGTTTACTGTTATTTTAATTTCCTTTCAATAATATGGAATGTTTAAAAAAAAACGATGAAGAATAAATTTCATATTGAAATCAAATGAGGCTAAAAGTAAAATAAGATTTAAAGTATTTAAGAGCCTTCCAATATTAAGAGAGTTTTAGGTTATTCTCAAATTAAAAAACGAAAATCATATATTTTGATAAAATAACATGCTAAAAAACAAATAAATAGTTCCATCAAATGCTTTTCCATTTATATAAGAGAAGTAATTCTTTGCCCCCTTTTCGAGCAAAAACATTAAGGTTATAAATTAGAGAGGGAAATACACCGTGTCATCGTTTGTCAAGTTTTCACAGGATACTTTCTTCATTTTACCGAAACAATTATCATAAAAGAAAAATATCCTATATTCTATTTATATATATATTACATTATTATAAGTAAGTAGCTGTGTGATTTTTTTACAGGTTTTGTTTCAATGTGAAGCACCTCCTCGCTGTTGTACTAAATGTAACATCATTTAGGTATACATAATAATTCTATGCTTTTTACAAGCTTAAACATTAATAAAGATATAAAATTGTGTCTCTAAAGAAATGTTTCTGCAAGTTGCTCATAATTTGGTTTTTTTATGTTAAAGGGAGCAACCAAGCAAACGGCCTACCTGATGGAGGTGGTACCATCGCTCATGGACATCCGTGACGTAAGACATGTTGCGGATGTGTCACCCTTGATTTGGGAAGAGGGGGAGGAAATATGGGAAAGGGTACGAAAGGACGGGAAAAGAGAAAGGGCAACCGGTTCTCTCACTCATCGAACGAAATGCAGCCACTAAGGCTACTTCACGCCGATCTTCTGTGAGAGGGTGGTACTTCCCCGGTCGAGCCAAACATATTCGAGCTGCAATCACTTGATCACAGCTAGCCTCTACCACCGTATAAATTATGGGAAAACTCCGATTTATGATTTTATGAGTTCATAATTGTAAGGTTTAGGTTCCCTTGCAGCAACCGTGATCACGAGCAGACGAGATGACAGTGCCTGTGAGTTAATCTAAACTTTTTATTAGTCGACTCGACATAAAAAATGGGTAAGACTCTCTGAAGATTATGTGGAGAATTATTTATTTACTGTTTTAGAAAAAGAACAAATTTTAATTGTCAAGTATAGCAAAATAATACCTCATTTATGATGATAGTTTTGTAGAAAATGACATTAAAGTATTCATGTCAAAGTAATTAGGCAACTTTACAATGCCATTTGATTTCCATATTAAGATTCTTCTATTTTTTCCTACAGTCAATATGCACAAAGTAAGTAGAATTGCAATAATTTAAAATTATACATAACTAGCTTTCCGCCCGCAGCTTCGCCGCGTGGAGTTCGGTTATATCGCGTTTCCAAGAGAACCTTTCAAAAGTCTGGGATAAAAACTATCCTATGTTCTTTCTCAAGGTCAACTCTATCTCTGTACCGAATTTCATTAAAATCAGTTCAGTGGTTTAGGCGTGAAAGCGTAGCAGACAGACAGACAGACAGAGTTACTTTCGCATTTATAATATTAGTAGGGATATCAATAAAGAGTTTATAATTTAAAAAACAAATTATTTACTAAGCTCATTGGGCGTCTGTTTATAAAATTATAACATTTTTGGTTCATTTAACTGAACTTGTATTAATTTTAAGCTTTAACGACAAAAGAACTTTTAAGATACCTTTTGATAAGTTACACTTTTAAATAAAGTTAGGTATCCTATTTCAGTTTAATAATAACAAAACATAATCTA